GAAAAAGTTCCACTAGAGAAACAAGATCTAGAAGCTAGAAGCAAATAGTGATTTACCTCTTACAAGTAAACAGATTCACAAGTATTGAATTTAAGAAGTCGAGCGAAATAATAGATTTTACATATCTGTTTTACTAATAAGATATTTGTTAAGTGGGTCCTATTGGAATGAGAGAGTTCATCACCATATGAGGCTCCACAGGGGTATGGTCCAGCAATTTTCTACACGTCGATCTACTTTGGACTTTTTGCTTCCAGCTTTAATGCCGATATTCTAATAGTTACCTATACAATAATCTGTCCAATTACCTACATCATACATTCATTTTTACTAGTAAGTACAAAAAAGACCAACTTAATGCCCTAAAATAGATTCAAAAATATAACTACGTAATAGTTACCCCTTAATAAGTACACGATTTTCCCAAGAAAACCTTTTAACGTGGACAACAATATTTTTAAATAGTATCATACCATAATTAGTAGATATAAAAAAGAAATTATGCAACAGTTAGAAATAAAAATTATTACGTAGAGATAAAATATAAAAATAAACAACATTCAAAGTAAATATTCAAAAGAATAGTTAAAGAGTGTTGAAACACAATATGGAAATTTTCAATACTTTCTAAAAGTTTTCCACGGCTGTAGTAGAAAGTTTCCCTGTTAACGTCCGCACCCCACTCAACGGTATTAACCAATAGCGGTACAGTGCGCAACGCAGGCCGCCGCGCCCCTCGCCACTGCACTACGCACGCTTGCAGCACAGCCGCACCGCACTGCACTGTCTGTCCCACTCACACGTATGAAATAACACCGTGTGCGTGAGGGACGGCAGACCACGTAAATATCGTATGCAAATTTTTTACCATTCAATTGCAAATTAAGTGGTGAATTAAGTAATTATGTACTATTATAAGCTGAATATTATTATCGACTTGCATTGGTTGTATGTAACACCTTTATGATGGCAAAAAAATATTTAACATTCTTTAGACGTAAAGTTTTTTTTTTGTAAATTACATGGATACGTTTATCATATTGTAAAATCAATTTTAATATCGGGAATTAGTTATATATTGTTTTTTTAGGTTAATAATAATAGGCAATGACACTTTATTTTTTAATTCGTATTACTCTTGGAATATTTTCCACCTCAACTATGATGAAAATAACTCGAAACTATTATTTGTTATAACGGTATTCGTTTGTACACGAAATTTAAAAAAAATGCATCCTAGGTTTTGCAAGGTTTTCTGCTCGTTTACCTTAAAATTCCCATTTAAATGAAGAACGAGGGAACTAAACAAATGAATGCAGGAAAACAAAACAATCTTCGTTGCCGACATATCTACTTATCATACGGCATAGATTTCAAGATATACTAACCTAGGTAGTATTTAACGAACAGTTGTGAAACAGTCATGAATTTAGACTAATAACGGAAGCTATATTTTCCATCTAATTCCAGGTATAGTAAGTTCCTGTTAGAATATAAATGTTTCTTAATTAAACTTTGTAACAAATCTTATAAGATCCTATTTATGTTTTAAATATTTATGCAGCTAATCTCTCTTCTTAGTAATATTATAAATGCCAAAGATTGGCTGAATCCATCTTTGTGACTACGATTCTTCAAATGGCTTCTAGGATCTTGATGGAATTTGGCACTGATGTAGAACATAGTCTGTAAGAATATGTAGGTTGCTTAATAAGTTTTTTTTTTTAAATTCCGCGCGAACGAAGTTGCGGACGAAAGCTAGTTTACAAATAATTGTCAATTAACTATGGTAAAAACCTTATTACGGTACTTATATACAGCAATATAGGATTATTTTAATTCAAAAACAAGAAAAAATCGCACACTTTACCTGATAAAAGCAATCCCATAAGATTTCTCTTAACGAAATTCAAATCAGAAAAACAACATCACTAAATCATCTTCCGTACCCTCAGACCAATTAAATAGCCATAAACGATTTTCAAATAAACAAATTCCGTCCTTATCACATGTAGTTGAAAAGAAAGAGACAGCTGCGTGCACCCTTGTGCCATAAATTTTGTGGAAGTCAGAGAAGACATCGGTTATGTTATGAAGCATGTGCGTGTTTTCTGATGTCGAGATTATTAAGTCCTAATAAATTTTATGACCCTCGAGAAGCCAAGGTGTCACCAGGGACTTACAATAGTTACCTTATATTCAAACATCAGGAACTAAAACATGTATTTAGATCACTATTATCGTGTTTATTTTATTTTTGATTTACCTATAAATGTAGAAACGAGAATGATGTGTCATGACCGCGCGGTTCGTTGTCTCTGCCTACCTCTGTGCAAAACTGACGCAAATATATTGTTTTTGTTGTTGAAGACGTGAAACTGGCTGTACTTATGGTTAAATAAAGTTAGCGGAAGCACAGACCTATTATTCTACACTATTTCCACTTTCAAAGTTTTCAAAAAAGTCTCGTTATTAAGTTTTAATTGCGTTTTAAGTAATCAGTATCAAAATATTCAAAACTTTTTAAAAACTTTACTTTTGAATTGCTTTTTGTTAATGACTAATTAAATACAAGAAAGTAGAACTCAAACTCGCTTAATTTAATCTTAAATATAAATACGGCTTAATTTGAAATTTCAGAAATGTTAATAAACTTTTAGATTTTTTAAAACAATGATACGAATTAACATGTACGCGCTGCCGTGTACAAAGTCGTTAATTGAACGCGTTTAGGCATTTTCTAAATAATTCATCAGACGAATGCGCATCGTATAATTAGCACTTCATTACAATTAAAACCGCGTAAAACAAATGTCCATTATTAAGGCGCATGTGGACGTGATTTATGTTTTTAAATCATTTATGCCAACTAATACAGATTGTACAGACGTTAATTAATTAATTATGAAAGATACAACACTAGATTACTAGGTATCTGACGTACTCATGGAGCTTTAATAAAAATGCTTATCTTACAATACTTATGTTTAATATTTAAAAAGGGACTTATTTGTAAATCAAACAGAAAGATGACTACCTGTGCCAAACGCCGGATGAGTAAAAGTATTCTGTAAAGCTATATTTACTACAATTTGTCTAAGAAGGAAGTAAGTTCTTGATCCAGTGGATGCATTTAACTTCTCCGAGAGTATAAAAATAATGTAATAAGAACAATTATTAAGAAAATTCATATTAACTACAATTCTTAAATCACGAAGCAGGCATCGCAGGAAATCAGTGGAATATTTATTAAAAAATAACTTAATTTTTCGAATTTAAAGGATATAAATAAACCTCACTTTACTTACAATGTCATGTGTTCCTTGCTTTAAGTATCTTATATTTCACCAAATATAGGAAGGGTAGTGAACAAATATTTACATAAATCACCTCATTGAATACTAGTTTAACCTAGAAAATACTACGAATACTTCGGCGGATGTTTGCAAAGAAAATTCTACATATACCTTTCAGTATTATTATAACACTTGATTACGCTATCTACAAAAGTAATATATGAGAGACCATAGCTTACATTTTTTTGCTTTAAAATCATCGACTTGTAGGTTTTAGCCTAACGACTTTGATACAATTGATCTTCAACTCTTTCAATTGAGAAAGATATCGTGTTGATCCTCTCATCCTGAAATCACAAGAATACTTCGTTGACACAATATATTTTCATTCTCCAGCTATGTCGACCGCATCTGGTTAGTCATTTCAATCTTACACATTTTTTTTTTTTACACTTGGAGTAAAAAAAAAATGAGTAGCCTACGTGTTGTTTCAGACGATCCTCTCCATCCATAGTAAATTTCATAGAAATCCGTCGAGCCGTTTACGCTACAAACTCTAACAAACATTCATTCATCTAAACTTTCGCATTGTTAGTAGTAGTATGATTATTCTTCTATACTCATTAGTTTATTAGTATCTAGGTGAAGGAATATTAAATATTACTGCAGTGCAACCGTTTAAAACAATTCCAGGGTGAATAAAAATAGACACATAGTGTCGGTTATTTATTATGGATAGCGGTCGGCAATTTTTACTCCTCACAAAGATGTCGTGTCGCGTCCCGACTGATGCATGGCGAATGTCCGCTACAACAGACTGATACTAAGTACCGCGTATGAGGAATCATTTTAATTCTGCTCTTGATGGATGTGTTTGTGTGTTTGTCTGTTAGTTTTTGTGCAAATGAGACGATATAAATATTGTTGATATCTCAAAGGAAATATGATTGCAATCTATATAGACTTACATTAGTCATTATTAATTAAGGCTCAATTTTGAATACTAAATATGTAAGAAATAACTATTACTAAGTAACGACTTTTGTAGAGTCGAAGGGTAGTAAAAAAGAAATTAAGAAATGGAATGTCTTTAGGCGCTACGTCGTACTATAAGACAATCTTTGTCTCGTGTAGTCTAGCTCCTGAAAATTTTATTGAATCCGGACCTGGTGACAATGAATAGCAATACACAGGTAAGTATTCGAACTTTCAAAGAAAATTTACTAAATGTTTTGATTAGTTTATTTGGATATTCATTTATCTTTTATCACTGAATGTCTAAAAGGAAGTCAATTCGAAACTGTATCATATTTGATATCAATGACAGGTGGTGAAAGAACAATTTCGATTCAATTCGTCGAAGTGAATGGAAACATAAAGAAAAAATGTCCATAATTGCATATCGGCGTAGAATGAGTGCCACAAAACACGTAGCCGCCGATCGTTTACCATCAATAATCATCAATCGGTCCATTGAAATCCGATAGGTTGTGTTGCGACGGTGTAGGTACCCTAATTACGCTAATCGCTGTCAGCGGGCACGGAAGCGGGAGCGGGCGCGGGCGCGCACACGTGGTGGCTGGTAGCGGGCCAGGTGCCCCGCCCCCCGCGCCGCCTCCCGCGTGCCCCTCGCTCCCCGCACTGGCCCCGCGCGCGGCCAGCGCTCACCTCAGCCAGACGCGCGCTGCACTCGATGCCCGAACGCCGGGAAAACACGAGCCGTTTTCCGCCGCGCGCCGAACTTTCGGACATATATCCGAGCGCGCCTGATTCGAACGTTCAAATTTCGAAACGCGATAACATTCGATTCGAATTTTGAAATTAATTTTAAATACAATTTTTAATTCGTTATCTGTGTAAAGTGTCAGAATATTTTTTAAAACACTTGTGGGATGTTAATGTGAATTACTTTCTCTTGAATGTGTTTGTAAAAGTTATTTCTTAGTGTCAAATTTGAGCATAGCCGAAGTGAGTATATTAATCTTAAACATTTTTTTCTCGAGTATTATAATGTGCATTTAATATACTCTGTGTAACGAAGGCGCGAAGTCATAAAATCAAACCGTAGCGCAGTAAATCTTCTTGGACTTTGTGGATTCGAACTGGCCACTCGATGTGGCGCAGTTTATAATAACTCACGGCCCCTTGGCATTATTGCCTAATAAAATAAATGTTAATTGCGACAGAAGCACGCTTTCATCATGTCTGTTAGATTTATGATCTTAAAATGTTTTGTAAGATTCATACTACAACTTGTAGTCGTTTTCACAAAATACACAGCTTTTTAATTGTACGTAAACAACTTTTTTTTTATAAACGATGAACTTATAATTCTAATTAATTTAATTAATTTTAAACTAAGCTATAAGTGCTTAGAAAAAAGTAACTTAATCCTAGCAGATACTTCAAAATGTACATAAAAATACATATATGGAATTTTCTACTAGTGAAAACATTCGAATGTAATTTTTTGGTTTGTAATATTTCTAGAGCGCATAATTTTTTTTTTACTGAAGGATGTTGGTTATTTCGTCGTTAGGTAAATAAATATATACGTTTATTGCTAAGGGTATAGGTAAATACTCGTGTTTATTACAAACTTTAGATTAGATCAAGAAATACTTTTACTTACTATAAATGTATGGGACTGCATAGATAATGTTTACATGATTTTATATTCTCTCCTATGGATTAGTACAATAAAAACATCGCACCAAAAAATACACACTATAAATATTATATCGTTTCATCAAAGGATGTCGTGTTTGAATCCGCTTCAAGATGTTAGAGAAATGAAGTAAAACAAAAGCAATGAAATCTTTCGGCCCATTTAATTTGGACCGGACGGGAGTGACAAAAATTTAAAACTGAAATAAACCGAACACATGTCGTCTTGATGTCAATGCGCCACACACACGGATTAAAACTAGGGGGTAAGGGATATTAAATTGTTTGTTGAGAAACATACTTTTAGACTACAAAATCAAAATAATTTTATATACCATACTTTAATGCTATTATGAAAACGAAAAAAACAATATTTTATTACCAACTTAGTACTGAAACGCTACGATGAAAACACGGAACTTTAAGTACAATTTAAACTTAATTTGAGAGCTCTATTCTCTCATTTTAAAGAGTTTGGAGTTTTAAAGGAATAGAGCGTGGATCTTCTTCTTAGTTCAGAATGTCCAGGTATAAAATAAATCTACTAACATCCGCTAAGAAATTAGATACCTTTTTATTATATTCTGTCATATATTATTATTTTTAAAAGTCGAAATGTGTTAAATTGTATACACTATTTTCTTATTGTTTATTAACTTATTCTGTATTAACTAATCAAGAAGAAAAAAAATTTCGCGTAGAAAATGGACATAGTATTTTAAATTTTGCCAGCCACGTATTCTAGTTACAAATATGTTATCTACACTAATTACTTGTAATATCTATCTTTAACATGAAAAAGTATAAATCTGTTTAAATTCTTTTTAAAAACAATCTTCAAAAATGCCAACATTTAAAAGCCCCAGTATCCGTCGCAAGCGCATAAAAATAGAGTACCGGTCCAAAATTCACACATTTGTCATCGGTGCTGCGTAAACGACGAATAAATCGAATGCACAATGACTGCTAATTTGCTCTTAAAGATGTATGCATCGAGATACGTCCATAAATCGGGCGCAGTCACATTCGGCCTACCGCGCACACCCATAAACCTCCGCGGACACTTTTATAGCCCGACCACGTGGCGAAGCTGATTTTTTCCGCACTTGACATGTGTGCGCGTTAGACATGAAAGTCGCTTTATTAATTTATCGTTTTGTAATAGACCCCCGTGTATGCTATACTTCTGTTATGTGCGTACTTAAGATAGATTGTGTTAATTAAATATACCCATAATTGATGATATTAAGTTTAAGATGTTATCGCTTTAGCCACGATATGATTTCTCAACCAGATGATGTAGGCTTTCTCAATTTTGTTACTTCTGCCTACCATGAAATTCTAATGAACCAACTTGTTCTGTCATCCGTTTCGTTTAAGTTAGTGTTTAACAAAACATTTTTTAAATCATGCATATGATTACACTCATAATGCATAATGAAAAACTATTTTTGTAATGTTAATTTAAATACAATTGCTTTAACATGTGTCTGTACAACGTTTGTTCTTGCGCTTTAACATACGGTTGACTTGTGAATGCGCATTGACTTCATGCAAAAACAAGATTATTAAAACTAGCTATATTGTGATCGCGTGTCTGTTTTTCACACTTCGTGCATCTCGAAATTAAAATAGCAATCGAGCGCTAATTATAGCGTGTTAATTAACAGGGAACAACACACGTGAACACTTATATGAAATTTATATATGGCCTATTGTGTTCATACTACTCAAACGAACAATTTATTTTCTAAAACTATGTTACAAGGTAGACAATACAGAACACGTGCTCGTTCAATACCGTACATTTATCACGTACAATACCATAAGTCTTCTCTAACAGGATATCACACTTGACCAACTAATGTGTCTCATTCTATCACAGGTCCATCGATCAAACTCCGCTACGAGAGGACAATTGTACCGGAGCGCAAACGTCCGGAGCACTTAACATGTCCATCTAGACTATTCAACGCTCATCTAAAGAATGACAGCCTTCGAGTGAACTTGAGAAAATAGGCGAAAATAATCTGTTACCGATGAACGACCTAAATTACAACGCAGGGATGAGTTCCTATCAATTCGTCAACTCGCTGGCGTCCTGCTATGGAAACCAGGCGCCCGGGCGCACGGGAACGCCCGTGGAGCAAGGTGGACACCCAGGATTGCCTACGCCGGGGGCAGACTACTACAACCCAAACGCGGCGGCGACGGCCTATCCAAACACGTGTTATTCACCCCCGCAGGTTGGTCACCATTATCCGCAACATCCATATGCAACTCCAGCGACCGGCGCTCACATGCAGCCGCAGACGATGATTGACTACACTCAGCTACATCCGCAAAGACTCGGAGGTACCCCGAGCCATATGCACCAGCACTCGAACCCCAGCCCGGGCGCGCTCTCGCCTAACCTGTTGTCAACGACGCCGAGTCAGGCGGCAAATGCGAGCTGCAAATTTGCCGACTCAACCTCTACTACCGGCGTGGCATCACCCCAAGATCTGTCCACGTCTTCCGGGCCGGGTAGAACCTCTCCTGGATTTGGACCGGTCGGCCAGAACCCCGTCGGCAATACTAGCGCTAAGCTCGGCCTGACCACGCCGATTGCTTCGCCGGTGGAGCACAAGGCCAACGTTAACCAGAACATTTCCAGCCCGGCGTCCAGTACGTCAAGCAATGAAAGCAACGAAGCGAATAACTCCAGCTCAAACAACACAAAGAACTCCAAGGCGTCGAACTCGCAAGCGAATCCTCCGCAGATTTACCCGTGGATGAAGAGAGTGCATCTCGGCCAAAGTGAGTATCTCTTTGTGTTGTAATTTTCTTTGGTGCGCATGCCGAATTAATAACTGTATCGCCTGATCGTGTTCATAGAGCGCGAGAACAATGAATGGTGGAAAAACTCGATTCACACTTTTTTACCATCGGCGTGAAATCATTAATAGCGCGAGCTTCCTAGTCTTAGCCGGCGTCGAAACCACGCCTACGTTAAAATCTACTTTTCGCTCTATTATGAAACGATTCATCAATTGGATGCCAAGGTGGAGACAAAATAAATTATATATCTATTTATAAAACATTAGCATGCATTACTGTCTGATCAATATGGATGTCTGATGGATGGATTCCATAATAAGGCGTAATGGCTTTGTTTGTTGGCGGGCGCTTACGGCGGAGCGTCGAACACTTTTTTTTCTTTTTGACTCCTAATGATGAGGAAAGTGCGCCGTCACCGTGACGTTGGATTTAAACTTCTGGTGTTAACAGTGAATCAGATTTTTTGATATAGGTTAATCTGTTTTTAATAGTCCACTGCTTTGGAAAACATTCTTGTAGTTATGTTCTTTTTAGACTTTAGTGGAACTTGGTAATAGCATATTAGAGAGACGACTATAACAGGATCATATGATGATCCTACATGAACTAAATTAATTTATTTTTAAACTTATCGAACATATTTGAACCTCTCAATAGTATGTTTTCTATTTTTATATCTCAACATAGAGTAATGTAGTGTGCCAGTGAGTTCGTAGTTTAGTCATCATAGACAACGTGTTAAGTCGTAGTCAACTCAGTAGTGTCAAAGCAATTAAAAGAGAAATAAAAGCGTTGGAAGTAATAATAAAGAACATGAGACGTACGAACGCAACGGCTGTCGCGTTAGATGTCCTGAGATAAAGACGGGCGCAGATGTCGCACGCCGTTCCGGGAATCTCGCTGACACACTATTGTTTTACTGACGTTCAACACGTTCTGACCTTGCCAAGGTTTGTAAAAAATCATTAGAATGGTTCTATTTTAGTTGTTTAGAGATAACACACCTATGTATTACACCGCGCGTTGAGTATCCGAAATCAGTCGAAAGCAAAGCATTTTAATTCGTTTACAATGGTTTAAATAAAGAAATGCGTATTAAATAAAATCAACCCCATACTATTCATAATAAAGAATTCAATAAAAAATGATAGAACGGTCAGATATACATTAGTAGGCATTTATCATTGATTTACTTTTTCACAGTTTTAAAGTCATTTTCACTCCAGAAGCACCTGTACAAGAACATATCGCTATTTCTGCATTTTAAAAGACTATGAAAGGGATGGCTACATGTTTTCTAGTGGCAATGAAAATGTGACGTGTGTATTTGTTAATTTTGAAATGCTTTCGACCTAATGCCTATTTTTCCCCTGTTGTTTACCTTATTAAACACTTAAAAGATAAGATCGACTACGCCTTAAATAGAAGAAAAATACGTGTTCATTGAAAAAGATAACATTTGTTTAATTACTAGCGAGCGGTTTATCTTTTTACGTCTGGAACTTAACATTGGCTGAAATCGATACGTTAGAATACTGTGGAATTTTATTTACACCTTCGTGTAAAATTAAAACTAAAACGTTGTAAATTAAACCATTAATTAATCAATTTCAAACGAGAAACGATAAACACATTTAAATTTTATTTGAATAAAGTGCCATGCATTTTATTTTAATTACATAAAATGTAGAAACATATGGGTCCCTTTGTATCTTAAATCGGTTTGCAAAGAATATTGTGCCTATATTCTGAATCAATTTTCTTCAAGTCATTTACCCAAAGACAATTAAGTATTCGCTTGTTTTTATTTCTTTTAGCGCGATAAATGTTTTTGTTGAACATTAATCTTAACTGTTGATTTTACCCTTCCCTGATTGTAAACTTCTATGCGACGATGTTTAACGTTAGAGAGTCTAATTGATTTAGGTAAACTTGAAAGCATTCAAAGCCAATTGTTACTGTAAGACACCTTGATTAGCGATTTTCAGTTAACAAACTGTTCATTTTCATAGAACGTAGATAGCTTAAACCTATCTATGTTGAATTCATTGTAGGTATATTATCTTGCATAAAGAAGCTGCTTTTCAGAAGCATAGCGAAGTATGGTAATAAAGTTAAAACGGGGCCGTAGGTCGATTCTTTCATGCCCCGCGGCCATTACTCAGGACTTGGCGCAAGTGGCAGCGACCTAGAGGTATGCGTGTCGATCCCTAACAAACACTCTTGTCGCTTTATTTACATTCAGTGCTTATAAAGTTAGATAACAATATTGTAACTTATAAGGATAGATTTTTGTTTAAAATAATTTCATAAGCATCAGTTCTATATTAACCTTTTACCCGCCAATTGCACAGGCGTTATTATAACGAACGCTAAAAATGCGTTCATGTATTTCTGCATAGGGCAGCACTTGTAAAGCGCGACGCTTTTTAGTACTGTGAGATCTGGGCGAACGAAACAAGAGTGATTTTAAAGCATTTTATAAGGGAGAGCGTTAAAAATACGCCCGTGCGAATGAAGACTTCAGGCTTGCGTAATATTATTATATTACAGGTTTGATCCTTTGGGCAATTGTTAAGCATGTGAAAAAATGTAGAAATAAATCTAAGTACTTGTATTCAGGAAATATTTGTGAAGTAACTCTATTTTGTAGAAAAATGCTATTGAAAGTGTTAATTACCGAATTAGACATAATCGCGTGACTTTCTTTTACAACTTAATTTGGAACAAATTTATGGTTTCGTTCTTGATATTTGGTATAAGGAATGCAACCACAAAGTACACTAATTATTTAATTTTGCTCAAAATTTTTACTACTATATTATGTAGTTTCAAATATCAGAAACTCTATAGTTATGAAAAACGATCGTCGTTTCATTCGATTGCTAAAAGCCGGGCTATGGGCCTTACCGTTTAGTGCAAATCATAGGACAGCTACGTCCGGAGGGAAGTTGACCCCACGAGCTCACCAATTATGTCAATTACCCATCATGAGATTGAACTGTGTTCAGTAAACTATAGACGGATAAATCGATGATGTAACCCTTATATTACAAGGTAAACGTTTACTTTAGGTTCTAACATTGTAAGCAACTAGTTCTTAAAAATTATGCAGATGTTTGTATACGTTAAGCTACTCTTTGCTAAACTGAAACTTTTTATACGTAAATACTACTGCTGTAAAAAAATTTAAATACATCTTTGTCTTCGTTTTTCAAATGTATTGAGAGCGACAATAATATGTTTTCATAGAATAGTTGCGACAGTGAAAGCCTACAGTTACCATACAAACATTAATAACAAATTCAGTTTATTCCGTTCTCACATAACTTATCGTTACGGATTCGTTAAAAGCTCCCGCGACAAACAGGATATCTCGCTTGATTCAAATTACATGCAAAACTTACCTGTGCCGAGATACACTCCGGCGGCGATTAGTAAATAAATAACAAATTAAATTCCAGTAAAGATTAGCGGCCGAGTCGTACATATACATAAATCAAGTCGTTCAGTCGCGCCGTACGCCGTAAATTATGATTCAAATAATATTATGGTAAGGCATGCTCCGTGCTGTTCTTAGTTGGCATGTTTCAAGTATAGTTCGGAACAGTAAACCGCTTTTGAGTTTTAATGAACGTGTTCATTGTTTTATGAGACTTTGTAACTTTTGCATTTCAATTCTAAATAAATAAAAAAAGCAGCGAAAACAACGCCATAGTATTTTCTTTCACTCAAATCTTAATAATATTATAAATGCGAAATTTTAGATGGATAGATGGATGTTTGTTAGAGTTTGTAGCCTAAAGGGCTAAACGGATCTTGATGAAATTTGACATAGACGTAGAGGATAATCTAGAAGAATATATAGGCTACGCATTTTTGTTTTGTTTTTAATTCCATGCGGACGGGATCACAGGCAAAAGCTAGTATTTAGTAATATTTTGGATAGCAACTATAATTCAAAGTTACTGTTTCCCTTACGCACTATAATAACGTATAAGTACTCACAGTAATTATTATTAATTTAAAACATGTGAGCACTGACAGGAGGCTTTGCGATAATTGAACAGAATTACCTAATTGATTCTTTGCCTGGGTGGTAATAAACAGAGTCGCATTACTATGTAATTCTCTCTCAACCGTCATTTGCATAATAAATGATGATTGAAGTAATCAACACGGTTGATGCATGTCGCGGCTGCTACTTCACTCGCGATACAAATATTTATGCTAAGAATTGGCTTTCGTACACTGTACAAAAAATTAACAAAGATGATATTTTAAACCTTACAGTTGCTATTTTTGACGAACATTTTTTTCAATAGTTTCGACCATATAATACCTGAAATCGCACGGAGATATATACCTTTTTAAAAAGGGTTCACAAACAAAACCACTTAAAGCTTACTGGTATAAAATAAGTAAATAAAAGAGGTATGGGGAGTAGTCAGGCGGAGGCGTGGTCGACTCTCAGACCCGTGCGATGGCGACGATGATATTGCAGAATTAGATCGCCTGCGAAATCTGAGAACCTCTAAACAGTGACGTCACTACGAGTTTGTGCACCAATTACTATTAAATAACTACAAAATAGAAGACATTATTTTCGTTTTTGACGCCCTATAATCAGATAACTCGATAAATACTTATTGAACTGTAGAGTATGACCAGGTCTATATGCAATAAATTGTTTTGATTTTTTCAAAAACAGTAAAAACAAATTTTAATCTGTCAATAATTTACTACAAAATAGTATTTCTCTAAGACATGGGATATAAATAAAACAAAGTTCGACATCAAGATTCCCATAAGCCCTTCCTTACTCCCTCGAGACGTTCCTCTTTCAATTATTGATGGAAACTTTTAGCCTTGTAAAATACAGCTAGAAAAGGTGCGGTTGCGGCCTCACTATTAATTTTTAAAAAACTAGGCAAAGTGTTATTTTCAAAGATTAGTTTATTAAGTAATTTGTTACAAAT